CTATGGATTTTTGCTTTTGATTGTAGGAAAAGAGGCTTGTTGCCGAGATCAAGAGAACCGCTAAAATAGGGAATGAGGTACTTAGGGGGGCGATTGGATACAGATTAAAACCGGTTTTGACCAATCGAATAATTTTTTTACACTCCTTAACTTAAAATCCAACTCAAATTTAATCCAACCCAAACTCTCCCCAATATTACTATTGATATAATTAAATAATACCAATCAATCATCCTCACACAACACATCAACTTTAATTCACTATTCATCCACTCACATATTTTTAACTACCTATCATTTCCAATAACTTCTCTCATACTTTTACATCAACTTGAAATCATTACATTTGAAAATATTATTTAAATACAAACTCAAAATCCCACTCAATCTTCAACTCAATCAATTTTGTTTAAAATTAACCCACTTTAACTTAAAATTCAATCAGAACTGGTTTTGATTTATATCCAATCGCCCCCTTAGAATTTCCAAATCGCGTGACTCGAGAAAAAACTACACTCGATCTCTTAGCTCGATAACTATTTAGAATAATGCATTAATCCTTTTTTTTGTTTTTTTGTTTTTTGGTTCAAATTCAAACTTTGATTTTCTAGGCGGCAACCAAAATTCTCGCTCGCCAGTTAATTAGGCTCCGGCAGCAAATATCCAACTTACAGGGTAGTCGGGCTCAGATGAGAGGTATAGCGACTCACACTCAGGTGACTAAGTGTATATAACCACAGTGATGAGATTTTGTTGCTTATGTTGTCCTAATGTGGTTTAATTTGCGGCATCTAATCTTTGCTATCAATTTATGTCCATGCGAAGGCAATGTCTGCCCAAACTTCAGTTGCTGTTGGCATGAAAGGTGCAAGCAAAGCTATGGCAGCAATGAATAAGGTTGGACTCTGCTAAAACTTTGTCCTTTTGTGATCTCTTATTTTTTATTATCCACATAAAGAAATGACCTTTTTAGTTTCCCTCCCTTTTTTAAGGTTTAATAGGGCAAAGGGTCCTCTTGAGGGGTTGTAAAATGGAAAAAAAAAAAAAATGATATTTTCAAAAGTCAAAACACAAATATGCATTAAAGGGTTGTATATCTGGATGACAATTGAAAAATGTCTTTTGCAATCAACATAAGCCTCAAAGTTTAGGGTGTTAGGCTGTGATGGGATATGTATTTGATTTGGTTTTGATTGGTTTTTTTGTTAACCATAGTTAATTTTGAAAAATGTGGCATGGTTAGTTGTTAGTGAGATTTGAGATTATATTAATAAAATAATTAAAGTTGATTTGATGTAAAAGTATGAGAGATGATGTGAAATGATGGTTAGTTAGAATTATGTGGGTAGATGAATAGTAAATTAAAGTATTTGATTTGTAAAAATAATTGATTGATATTATTTAACTATACTGATAATATTGAGGATAATGGGGTTGAGTTAAAAATGATTGGTTTTTTTTTTAATCAAATTCATATCCAATCACACCCTTAGTTTTTATATAGATATCCCTCTCTCATATATCATGTCCAGTCAACATATATTTTTTTTTTTTTCACTCGCAATCTTGAAATGTAATTTTGTTACAGCAAATGGCTCCTGCAAAGCAGGCGAAGGTGATTCAGGAATTTCAGAAGCAATCGGCACAAATGGATATGACTGTTAAGTCTCGATTTAATTTTTATTCATTTCGTACCAAAATATATTCATCTTCTATGTGAAATGTTGACACGTTTTCTTTCGTTTGCTGTTTTTGCACTGTTTACGTAGACTGAAATGATGTCGGATGCCATTGATGATGCTTTGGATAACGACGAGGCTGAGGATGAATCTGAAGAACTCACTAATCAGGTGTCCTTTTCTTCTTCTTCTTCTACTTCTTCTTCTTCTTCTTCTTATTTTCCTTTTCCCTTTGCTTCTTTTCTTCTTCTACTTCTTCATCTTCTATATATATATATATTCGTTAGACTATGATTTTACTAAATTCTATGATGTAATGTTATCAGGTGCTGGACGAAATTGGTGTGGACATTGCCTCACAGGTTCTTCCTCTTTTCTCCCATTTTTTTTGTTTCTTTGGTCTTTTGTTGGTGGGATAACATGATTATTTTCGCATCCAACATGCGAATAACATTTCGTTCTGAACTTTGTTTCGATAGTTATCAGCTGCTCCAAAAGGAAAAATTGCAGGGAAGGATGCCGAGAGTGCCGGCAGGTATGTTACTTTTTTTGCCCCTTATCTTACTTTGTACACATACAACAATACCATCTTGATTTTTTATCTCGTCCCTTATTTATTTATTTATTTATTTATTTTTTCATGCATATTTTGTTTCGTTTTTAGTTCGGATATCGATGAATTAGAGCAGAGGTTGGCCGCCCTCAGAAATCCTTGAAAGCCAAAATGTGTTTTTCTGCCGAGATGAGAAATGCGCTGGTGTACATAGTTGGACTATTTCCCCTATTTTTTTTATTTTTTTTTTAAATTCATTTTTAGG